GGTTCAACAATATGTTGAACTAAACCATCTGGGTTCACTAAGCTGCAAAGCAACCAACCAGGGTTTGTGTAAAGGCTGCTGATGGGTCTATCTGGATCTAGTTGGCTGTGTTGTCTCAACCAGCCTAATGTGAGATGTGTGTTACGAAGGAAGCAATGCCTTCAATTACAGATGTAATTCTGACGGGCTCAAGGTTGACTCAGCCTTCCATCCTTCTGAGCTCAGTAAAATAAGCACCCATATTGTTGGGGGCAAAATGTTGATTCTGTAAATTGCTTAGAGAAGGCTGTAAAGCTCTATGAAGGAGTATATATGTCTAAGTGCTATGGCTATTTGCACATCTTATTTTTTCCATTTTCCTATCACAATAAACATTCTATAAGGTGCAGAAAATGCTACTTGCTTCTCTTGGTTGCATCTGCCTGCCTGCCTGCCTGCCTGCCTGCCTGCCTGCCTGCCTGCCTATCTATCTAGCTAGCTAGCTAGCTATCAATCATCTATTCCTCTATCAATCTATTTATTCTTCTGCACACTTTACATTCATTATATGATGAAATATATAGTTTATTATCTTCAGCAACCAGCCTCCTACTATATAGTTGCACACAAATTCCATAATTTAAGCTTTTTCACTTGATCATGCTTTCGAAATCCGCAATATTTGTAATTTTTCTCACATTCCTATATTTCTCAGTGGTCTGCATAGGCCTTGCCTGGTGTAAAGCCACACTGCACTTTCAAAATGTCACTTACTCACGCTTCTCTGAGTCTTGGAATTAGAGTTATAAGGTACATCTTCGCAGGCACATTTTACAAGTTAATTCTCCTGCAGTTTTGACATCTTTACTTTTGTACATGGAAAGAATAAGAATATAGATGTAACTTCACACACCTATTAAACAAGTCCTACAGTCACCCAATATATGCCATCTATGTCGCAATCTTACAATTTTTCACAGGATTGATTATGTGCCAGTGTCAACTTGTGGCAACCACATAGATAGAACTGCCCCAGGATGGTCTCACAATATGAGTGTTTCTTTTACATCAACCTTTTCATCACTTCTCACTACAGGTAGTCCTTGACTTACAACAGTTCATTTAGTGACCATGCAAAGTTACAACGGCACTGAAAAAGTGATGTATGACTATTTTTCACGCTTATGGCTGTTGCAGCGTCCCCTTATGGTCACGTGATCAAAATTCGGATGCTTGGCAACTGGTTCATACTTATGGCTGTTGCCGTGTCCTGGGGTCATGTGATCATTCTTTACACCCATCTGACAAGCAAAGCCAATGGGGAAGCCAGATTCACTTAACAACCATGTCACTAAGTTGACAACTGCAACTGTGGCAAGAAAGGTCGTAGAATGGGGCAAAATTCACTTAACAAATGTCTCACTTGGCAACAGAAAATTTGGGCTCAGTTGTGGTTGTCACACGAAGACTACCTGTATTCTTCTCATACAGACCTCTGAAATACTCTTTCTTCTATTTCCTTCATTTACTTTCGGCATGTCATTTCATCCCTTTTACATTTAATTCTAGCCACCCTGCCGGATGCTCCTTGCTTAGCCTTCTTCACCTGCTTCTGAATGTTCTTATGCATGCGACATGAGAGTACTGAATTTTTGCAGAACTTCTAAGATGGGCTCACGTATTCTGTAAAGCGGTTCTTTCAGCAATAATTCATTAAGTCAGCACTAGCTGGGATTGTAAAAGGCTCTAAAATGCATCGGGCTGTTGATGTTCTCTGAGCTTGGTTATTTTCCAGCAGAAATTTTGCTATCATGCTAGATAGTATCCTTGGTGCATGGGAGAACGGGATTTGCTGCTTGTTTATATACAGTAGCTTGCCCTGTCAATCTTGGATGGGGTGTGCTTCCTTCTTGATGGCCCTTAATAAACCATTTTTCCTCCTGATGGTTTGTTTGTGCTGTTTCTTAATTATGTGGGTGTGGCTGCTGGAGAGGATGTTTTTTTGGGGCTGTTTCCCTTCTTCCTAGACTTTTGATTGTATCTTTTAAATGGAATGTCAGTGGGGCTTATCTCTATGTGGGTTGATGGATTTGTTAGAATGCTAAGCTTAGAGCAGTGATGGTGAACCTTTTAGAGACCAAGTGCCCAAACTGCAACACAAAACCCACTTATGCATCGTCGGGTGCTTGGTGCGTGTGGCCCATTGGGTGGGCGTGGCCCATTGAGTGGGCGTGGCTGCGGTGGTAACAGCAGACTGGGTGGAACTAAAAAGTTAAATCAATCAATTCCAACTTTGTGAGATCTTTTTTTTTTTCCAGTAAGAAGTTGTAATTGATTGAACCTTTTTTTTTTTTTTGCACACGGCAGCGGAGACCTAAAGTGAAAAGGTTTTATAAAACCCAGCTGAAGGCCTAGGACTGGGGCGACGGCGCACGTGCCCACAGAGAGGGCTCTGAGTGCCGCCTCTGGCACCCGTGCCATAGGTCGCCACCACTGGCTTAGAGGAATTGCCTAGTATTTTTGGAATTGGCTTCATCCAAAATGCCAACCCTTTCCCAGCTGAAATAGTTGTTGAATTTCTCCCCCTGCAGAAAGATGAAGGAGCTGTTGTCTTCTCTTCTGAATGTCAGTTGATGTTCATAGGTGATGATTTTGATCCATAGTCCTCGCACTGTATGTTGTACCGGTAGATGACTCCTGTTTATCTTTGGTTAATTGTTATTTCTCTGGGTAGTTTTAAAAGCATTTGAAGAGATTTTGTTGGTCTGTGTCACAAGTAACCTGTTGGTTGTCTCAGTATTTCATGTATGGGATAGTTAACCATCTCCCAGGTTATGTTGCGATAGGTTGTGTAGCTAGGTACTTTTATGAAGTTGTGTGGGTATCTGTTTTGTTCCCCTGGCAACCAACACCCAGGGAGGCAAGAAGTAGCACTAGGCCAGGGAAAAACAGGACCCTAATCAAACAACCAAGAAGTGTTCAAAATGTACCCCAACCAAGATTGGGAGGACAGGGTGCTCTTTGTAAACCATCAGTGAACGCTGCTCTTCCTTGCACAGAAGACGTTTCCTAGCCTGGTAACAAAAATTCTGCCAGAAAACAAGCAAGCATAGGGGACATCAAGACCCCAACTCCTTATAAACTACAAATATTCTTCACTACTGAAATTCTAAAAAAAAAAAAAATAGTTCACCAATGATAGTGGCTTAACCCTAAGATAACATTTGCACATCTGTAAAATGAATACATGCTTACGAGAGCAACATTTCATGTGTATATGCAGATGTAAATCCTGTATTGTGATGCTTCTACTTAACCGGCTTCCCCTTTGAGGCTTTGTTCAGACGTCGCCCAAACATCGCAGGCAAGTCTGTTGCATCCCAAATACAGAGTGTGCATATGGCTGTGTGTTAATGTGTTGTCAGTGGTGCCTCCTTGCTCCAGAAGCACATTTACATATTTTGCCCATTCTTGATGAGGGGGAGGACATGATGAGCATGCTCGGGGAACAGGCTCTTTGGAGGATGCTCTTTGGGGTACAAACAGTGGGCCTTTGGGGTATGCTCTTTGGGGTACAAACAGGATGCTCTTTGGGGTACAAACAGTGGGCCTCAAAAGTCAGAGCAGGGGCTGCAACCCCTCCTTTTTTACACACATCACCATGGATCCAAAATGTTCAGGCTTCAGCCATCATGATCTTTCTGACACATCACAGAAGCCGCAGAATGCTGCATTTCTATCATTTCTTCTAAGCTGCCTATGTGTTAGGATTACTTTTAAGAGCACTTTGAGGCACAGATGAGTGCAGGTGACCTCGCTTAGGATCTGTCTAGCATCCTGCTAGAACTTGCTTGTGGTTTGGCTACTAATTCCCCGTCAAGATAAAAAGCAGCACGTTTAGTTGTGTAGACTCAGGGCTGGGCTTCACTGTCTGCCACGCCATTGTTTACTTAGCAATGCTTGATTGCATACACAAATAATGGGTTACTTTACATAAGAGGAAACACCTGTTCTACATGAAGCCCATATGGGAACCCAGTAAATTACGCTTACTCAGCAAACCCTGGTTAAACAGACCATGCTTTGGCACAGTGTGTTAAAGCAGGGGTCTTCAAACTTGGCCCTGTCATGACTTAAGGACTTCAATTCCCAGAATTCCTCAGCCAGTTGAAGTCCACAAGTCCACAAGTCATGAGAGGGCCAAGTTTGAAGACGGCCTGGCTGAGGAATTCTGGGAGTTGAAGTCCACAAGTCATGACAGGGCCAAGTTTGAAGATGGCCTGGCTGAGGACTTCTGGGAGTTGAAGTCCACAAGTCATGACAGGGCCAAGTTTGAAGATGGCCTGGCTGAGGAATTCTGGGAGTTGAAGTCCCCAAGTCATGACAGGGCCAAGTTTGAAGACCCGTGTTAAAGTAACTATTGGTTGGGTTCATACATCACTGTGTAAACCATGGGGTGGTTCAGCAAAAGTGCTGGGTAAAAAAATGGTCAACCCCCCCCCCTCCGGGGAGGAAGCCAGTTGGGTCGTGTGAACTCTGCTGGCTGATTTTAATTTTGGCTGTTGGGCCAACACCAAACAATTGCGGGACAGCCAGAAATGGTGCTTAAGGCAACGAGGGCTCGTCCAGAGGGCCACTCCACGGTACTTTTGTGCAACGCGTTTAATTTGCAGACGAGCTTTTCTGGCACGGGGGTGAGTCAGGCCGGACCCAAAGTGCACCCGGGGGACGGTTGTGCGAACGCGGCCTCCGCTGTCCGGGACGCGCGTCCGAGGAAACTTTCGGGGGAAGCGGCTCCCCGCCAACGCTCCGGCCCCGGGCAGCGCTCCGCAGGTGAGGGCGCCGCTCGCCCCGCCGCTGCCTCGGCCGAAGAGCCCGGCCTGGGCTGCGGGACCGGGCCGGGCCCCTCCCGTCGCCTGCCCTCCCCTCCGGGCCGCTCGCGCGGAGCCGGGCCGGGCTCCCCCGCCCTCCCCGGCAGCGTGGCCGCGGCTCGGGCGCTCCCAGCGGCTGGGAGGCGGGGAGGCGCAGCGGCGGGGCGGGCGCACGGACCGCGTTGGCGAGGACGGGCACCGGACGGGCGGGATGCCGGCGGGGCTGGCCGGGCTGTGCGCGGAGCGGGCGGCCGGCGCGACCTGAGGCAGCGCCAGCATGTCCCGCAAGAAGAGCCCCCGGGCCAAGGGCGGCAGCAGCGCCGCGCCCTCCTCCGCCCTGCCCGCCGCCCAGCAACGCGCCGCCGCCGCCGCCTCAGGCGGGCCGGGCCGGGGCGCGGGCGGGCCGGAGGGGGCGGCCAACGGGGGGGCGCTGCCCAGCCGGCCCTCGCTCAGCAGCAGCGGCGAGTTCCACGACGTCGTCTTCAAGGTGAGCGGCGGGCGCGGCTCGGCCGGGGGGCGAGGGCGGCGCGGCGGGGCTGCCCCGGCGCTCAGCCACCGCTCGACGGGCGGACGGGCGGACCGCTGCCCTGGCCCGGCCGGCGGCTGGGTCGACCGAGGCGGCGCGTGTCGGGGAGGCTCGGCGAGCGCCGCCTGCCTTCCCCAGCCGGGCTGGAGCGTCCCCGGGACGGCCTCGCAACAGGCGCGTCTGCCGCCGGCGGAGCGAAGAGGCGGCGCTCCGGAGCGCCGGCGGGCTTGTTTTGCAGCCGGAGCCCCGCGGAGGTCCCAAGCCGGTCCCGGAACCGCCGGGGTTCCAATTCATCCCGCGCTGCGCCCTCCGCCCGGTCCGCCCCCAAACTGGGTCTGTCTGTCAGCCGCGAGCAGGTGCCTGAAGCGGCTGCTTGCAGGGATTAATCCACAGTAGCGGTTGGAGGTAGAGTGCGCCTGTAGCTGGAAGCTCTTCGCCCCCATGTGACCTACTCTCCGGCGCTCTCTTTCTTTCCCAGCCACCGCCACTTCTGGCGCTGCCAATTCCAGCCTCCGGCGCACTTTCCCCCCTTGAACGTATCGGGTGGCCCTTCCTATCCAGTTGTGTTTGCCCAGCCCAGGACCCTTTTAGGAGCAGGATGGCACCTTTCCTGATGCCAGTCTGGGTATAAAAGGGCAACCGGGGAAGTTTTCTTCCGCTCTGCTGCTGGGACAGTCTGGGTTTGCACCTGGCTCCTGGGAAGAGAGCCCAGGTTTGCTTAAATTAATCCTACTGTCTGGGATTTGCACACAGTACTGGTGGCGTTTGTACAACATGCTTAATTGTAACTCCTATGGGAGTTTACTCAGTGCAGCGTTCATTCTCACAGCGTACAGAACCCCGGGACCCATCACGTGGGCTGCTTTGCACTATCCATGTGCAAGAGAGGGATGGGGCTGAAAGTGAAAAAGGAAGACCAAAACACAAACAATTAGCAGATAGGAGATGTTGTCACAGGTTTATCTAACACAGAGACTTGTCTGCAAACATTCTGAGAAATAAAGATACACACACACACACACTGCAATAAGTTCACTTAATGAACTTGCTAGTAAGAGAGGCTTGGAGGGCTCCTGTCTCAGTTCTCCACATTTGTGATTCTGATTCTTGGCATTACACTAAATAAAGAAAATGTGTGTGTTTCCTTGACCAGATTCTGCAGGAAAGGGGCTGGATAGCGTAAGGAGGGTAAAATTTACCGGTGCTTCATGATCGGGTAACTCAGATACTTACAAAGTGTTTGACTCTGTTAAACTGGATGGTTGGCCATCTATGGCTCACCCTGTTGTGAGTGTGGTGGTGACGGCATCAGGCGAGAAACTGGGAGACTGTGAGTTCTAGTCACACCTTAGGCACAAAGCCAGTTGGGTGTCCTTGGGCCACTCACTTGCTCTCGGCCTCAGGAAGGTGGCAATGGCAAACCACTTCAGAAAAACCTTGCCCAAAAAAAGCCCTGCAGCGTCTTCTCCAGGGGGTCTTTGAGAATCAGACACCGGTGGAAGAAAAAGAAATTTGCTGAGAAGTTTCATGTAGTTTATGTGGGTTTCACCTACTGTAGGTCTCAAAAGTGCTTTTTCAAAAAAAAAGGCAACTGGACTGTTTTTTCCTTGAAGAAGAATAACAAAACATTTTGCTTCTCATCCAAGAAGCTTCATCAGTTGTGATGGGGAGGGGGTTAGGAAGGATAGGTACTGACAGTTGAGAATGGATGGTGGAAGGATAGGTTCTGATTAGAATTTTTTGGGGAGGGGGGGAATGGAAGGATTGAATTTCTTTGCAGTCATCTGGTCGTTTGCACTCTCTCTGAGAGCTCTTGGGGTTTCAAGGTCTCCTGAATCGGTGCAATTGGTTGTGGAATCATTTTTGGAACTGCTGCAAGGGCTGCGTTGTAAACTGGAGATAAGTGGTGTCTTATTCCTCCCCCTTGGTTGAGGGAGGGCTGCTCAATGTTAGCATAAATGGCCTCTTTGACCCCTCTTTCAAACCAATGGTCCTCTCCGTCCAGAATGGGGAGTTTGGGGAGTTTGCTTTGGAAAGAGCGGCCTTTGTCTTTCAAATAACGATGGACCGCTGAATCTTGTCCTGATGGGTTTCATCGCCTACCTTGTGCCGTGCGCTTGTGAAGTGTATGGCTAAAAATATCCCTGCAGATTCTCGGTCATAGTTGCCTCAAAGGTGCTTTTTCAAAAGGCGACTGGTCTGTTTTTTCCTTGAGGGAGATGAACAAAACATTTCATTTCTCATCCCAAAAACATCATCAGTTGTGATGGGGGGGGGAGGATAGAAGGATAGGTTTGCCAAAGATTTACATAAAGCCAAAGCAAATAAGCCAAGAAAAGATTTTAATACAGAATCGGGTAGCTCTGCTGTGGTTGGAAAAGAGGGGTGCAAGAGCCGGGGCACTGATGGAAGAACTTTTTTATCCCAAGAGGTGACTTTGGAAATATCAGCCATGATGTTGAGATGTGATTTGCCCCCGCTCCCCCCTCCTCCCCAGCATGGCAGCAAAGCAAAGCAAAGCAAAGCAAAGCAAAGCAAAGCAAAGAGTGTCCTTGGGCAGGTGAAGCTGAGCTGGTTAGCCAGGTGGAACTGACAGAAACTTCAGGTTCTCTGATGCCGGACTACGGTTCCCAAGAGCCCAGCCAGCAGCAGCAACTGGAAGTTGGCCTTCTCTGCCCCAAAGCTGGAGAGGTGCAGAATGGCTGCTTCTGCTGGAACAGACCACATTTTCCTGTCCTCTTTGAAGGACATCCTGTTGAAATGGGACAACTCGCAATGGCCAGCTCACCGTGGAACAATTCCATGCAGGATAACTCAGTGCGATAAATATTATCGGCCGCTATTTCGTCGACATTATTTCCATTGACAAAAATGAAAAAAAAAAAAAGTCTAAGAAACGGGTGGGTAACATTTATTGCGTTGAATTATCCTGCATGGAACTGTCCCAGGGTGAGTTGGCCATGGCAAGTTGTCCTAGACCAGGGGTAGGCAACCTTGGCTCTTTTATGACTCGTGGACTTCAACTCCCAGAATCAGGAATTCTGGGAGTTGAAGTCCACGAGTCATAAAAGAGCCAAGGTTGCCTACCCCTGTCCTAGACCCACATCCTGTGGCTTGGATCCTTGCTTACTGGAAGTTTCAGCCGCATGTTTGTTTCCTTTGTGGGTGATAGGAAGATTACAGGTGGTGATCAGGGCAATGCTGGCTAGTCCTGGGGTTGGCTGAAAGAGGCCAACTGGGAGAAAGTGAGCTTCCAAGCCAAGTTCCCCCCCCCATCTACAGATGAGCATTCCCACAATCCCATCCTCCCCAGCCTGGAGATGGCCTTAGTCAGAGAAAGGCCCAGCACTGACTGGATTTATACATCATGGTAAACACTGGCTTGTTTTAACCAGCCTTTACTGAAGAATGGACATCAGGCTAAGCCAAACCAAGAAACCATGGTTTGGCTTATCTCTGTGTTCCTAATAATAGCAGAGTAGAGCCCACCATGCCTGGTTTGTTTATTTTCAGTAATTGGTTGTTGTCTCTGCCCTAAACCAGAAAGGATTCTAGGCACAGAGTTGTGGTGTGAACTGTAATCATGGGAAGGGAGTTTAAACGGCACAATGACAGATTTGGTACGTTTGTCGCAACAAACTAAGATTGGTCTGCCAGTCCCCCCTCCCTCCACGAAGTTACCAAGACCTAATATGTCAGCCTTGCATGCTTCTGCTTTGCACTGGTGAATAGTTCTCTCTCTGCTGCTTTGGAGATACAAAGGTCCACAAAGTGGGGGCAGTTTGGGCTGCCAGCAGTCCTACTGTGGAAATCAAGCGAGGGGTCAGTAAAAAGGTGGGCTTGAAACCTAACCACAGTAAAATTCAGACCTCCTTCAGAGCCTGAATGGTGTGATGTTTTGTCCTGCAGAAAATACGATGCCCGCCTGACTTGCCATTTGAGAAAAGAGAGTTCTCTCTAAAATGGGTGAAGACAACCTCTGGCAGCCCCTCCCCGTTTCTTTTCTTCCCTCTCTCTCTTGCAGTGAATGTGGATTTAACCCAGTTGGTCTCAGGCTCAACTCATTACAGCTTTGAGGCAGACAGCTGCAGTTGGGTAGCAGCTGTGTGGAAGCCGCTTCAATTACCCCGTTTGTGCTTCCAGGGAGAATCTGTGGGGCTTCTCGCAACTCAGGAGATGTCAGAATAAATCGGTCTCTCTAAGTCCCTCCGTTGGGAGAAGGGGGTCTTTGCTGCTAGGTAGCAGAATGGCTCAAGTCAGCCTGTGTTAGGCAAGAGACGTTGGGGGGCCTGGAGGAGCACAGTTGTCTGAAGGAAGCGCCACCACCTGAGGAGACCGTCTGAGGCCAGGCAGAGAGGCAGCTGGGCAGCTGTGGAGAGTCTACCATGAAGGCAAAGCAGGACCCTGTCCCGTCTCACTTCTCCCCTTGTCCATTGGGTCCAGGAGGCCAGCGAGGCCACTGCACCCCTTCTCATCTCTTCTCCTCCTCTTCTTCCTCCAGGTGATGCTAGTTGGTGACTCAGGAGTCGGCAAGACCTGTTTGCTGGTGCGCTTCAAGGACGGCGCTTTCTTGGCTGGGAGCTTCATCTCGACGGTGGGGATTGACTTCCGGGTAAGTAGCCCTAGATGACTTCATTTGGGGCTGAGGTTGCCGCCCCAGAGACCTCGGTTCTCCTACCAGCTGAATTGGCAGAAGTGGGCTGTGCCCACTGGGTTGGGGCAGGAGAAGGTCTTGGTGGGCTGCCCACCCCCCAAGGATCCTCTCTGTCTTGAGAGCAGGGAATGTATTATTTATTTATTTTACATTTTATTTACGTATTATTGCATCTATTTTTGCTGCCCATTTTCTCATTTTGAAGTGACTCTGGGCGGCTTACGGCATAGAAACATTAACATCATCGAAAATAAATATTCCAAAAAATGCCCTTTGGCTGAGGAAGCTGCCTTGCCTTGAATCTTCCACCTGCTTATTTGCTCAGGGATGCTGGAGTCCCAAAGGGGTCTGTGGGGAGGGGAGTTTTCTCCTTGCTCGTATTTCCATGTTGGAGGCAGCTAGGGGGCTGTAGGGAGAACCAAGTCCCCCTGCTTAAAAAAAGAAGAAGCCAATCCTTTTTTTTTTTGGACAAGGGCCCGCTCTCTTTGGCACCGCACGCCTGGCTGCCCAGCGGGAATTGAACCAAGAGCCTCTGTGCCTGGTCGATCGTTGCCAGCTGGAGGCAGGAGGGTCCCGGCTGCTCGCTCGGTCCCAGCTGCAGAGGCATTTCTGGGCTTCTTGGAAAGCTGTTTCTTGCTTCGTTTATTCTGCAAAATTGAAAAGCTCCCGAATGAAAGAGGGAAGCGTTTTCTCTCTGTCAAGCATTTCTAATTAAATAATAATAATAGTAATAGTAATAGTAATAGTAATAATAATAATAATAATAATAATAATAATAATAATAGTAGTAGTAGTAGTAGTAGTAATAATAAAAGACTTCATTTCAAGCATTTGGGCAGCTGGCCCAGGATGTTTCAAAACAATTGTTCTGGAGTGGACCTCTGTGGTTCTCCGTACCAGGGACCTTTCCCAAAGCCGTCAGTTCTGGTGCTGAAGGGGCGGCTGCTGGAGTTGGCATTCCATACTGGCTCTTCCTGGGAGAAATGCTTTAACCAGGAACATTGGTAGTGCCAGATAAGGGATGCCTTGCTGAAGTGGGCAGCAGCCGCTTCGAAAGCAAGTTGTCATTGATGTACTAGTCATACAGTTGAGGGAGATTTGTTTCCTCTTGTTCAACCACTTTACATGACCAAAGGGGAGAAAAGGAGGAAGACAGAGTGGCCCTGTTTGTGTGGGGCTGCCCTAGACTTTCATCCCTGTTTCAGCAGCAGGCAGAGAGAATTAATTCCCCCCCCCCCAGAACGCTCTTGGGGGGGGGGGGAAGCTTGGCTGCCAACAGATCTGGGCTTCTGGACGAATAGAATCCTCCCTAAGGGAGGATGCTGGCTATGGATAGCTTTTTTCTAAACCTAGTCTCTCTCTCTCTCTCTCTCTCTCTCTCTCTCTCTCTCTCTCTCTCTCTCTCTCTATCTCTCCCCCTCCCTCCCTCCCTCCCTCCCTCCCTCTGCGGGCCAGGTAGAAACAGGGTTGGTGGATCCAGCCCATCGGAAGCTCTTCCTGTGGGGAACCAATGCTTCCCCTGATCTGTTGCACTAGAGAAGATCTTTCTGGGGATTGAGATTGCTGGTAGTGTCAAATCTGCCATAAACTGGATTTCAGTGGGAATCAATGGCACCTTTTGCGTTGGAACAGTGCTGAGTTTGGCTGCCATCAATGGGCTGCAAAAGGCAGGAAGTGGGATTCCAAAGCAGAGGTGCCTTTACAGCTGTGCAGTCTTCAAAAATGATTGAGAGGAAGAGCTTTAGAATTGGCCCCTGCATGGAGCCCTGAAAAAAAGGTTGTGTCTGCTTTAATGAGCAGCCAGAGGTGCTGTGTGGGTGCGATTTTTCAAAATACTAATTCCAAATCATTCTTTTTGCTGATGGTTCTGGAGAACTTCTTCCAAGTATGGGATGGAAAAAAGGAAACTTTGGGAAGAGTGTAGAAAGCATCTTTCTTTCTTTCTTTCTTTCTTTCTTTCTTTCTTTCTTTCTTTCTTTCTTTCTTTCTTTCTTTCTTTCTTTCCTTCCTTCCTTCCTTCCTTCCTTCCTTCCTTCTTTCTTTCTTCTTCCTTCCTTCTTCTTTTCTTTCTTCCTTCTTTCCTTCCTTTCTTTCTTCCCTTTCTTTCTTTCTTTCTTTCTTTCTTTCTTTCTTTCTTTCTTTCTTTCTTTCTTTCCTCTTACAATGGGAGAAGATGAAAATGTTATAAAACGTGCCTTTGGGCTTGGTTTCACACAAGAGCACAACATCCCTAAGAGTGGAAAGATGCCGTGAGATAAGAGAAAACCCACCTCAAGGGACGGAGGCAGGCTGGCTAGCAGGTGCAGCCCTTGGTCTTTGCTTGCATGTGCACAAGATTGCTGTTGCCGCTTTTTTCACTGCTTCTTGTCATATGGCCATTTGTGAGTGTTTTTACTCCCCTCCCCCTCATGTAAATGTCTTCTTTGACAGTTTCTCTTCGCTGTCTTGAAAGAACAAAATTATGTTCTAAGGGTATCAAGTTAAAAACCTTTCTTTTGCTTGTTCTTATTCTTTTGGCAGTCTAGTAGAGCTCCAAAAGATGCACAGTTATAGAAGCTTCTTCAATACACACTTTAAATCTCCTTGGTTCTTAATGCCTCTTTTTTCTGCTTATGAAACGGTCACCCAAGTAGATTCCTGGCCGGTCCCCAAACCCTTTGCTAGGAAGCTTTCTTTTTTTTTCAAAACAATTTTTATTCGTTTTCCATTTTACACCAACACAGCTTAAGAACCCGCGTGGGAACATGGTGATCCGTTTTTTTTAAAAAAACAAGCAATAACATAGTAAATATATACCCAGCCTTTCTTAAAAAATTCCCTCTCTATCTATATAGGGTATTATAATCAAATTAATACATTTCCAAATGAATTCATTCATTACTATATCTAACCATCAACTAGATTAATCAATAAAAAATTAATCTATAAAAACCTATATTTCTTCACACATTTAAACTTAAGCTTAACGAACTCCATTGATTTAAAAACATAATCAAATCAATATCTTTCTAAAACAGTGGTTCTCAACCTTTCTAATGCCGCGACCCCATAATACAGTTCCCCATGTTGTGGTGACCCCCAACCACTTATACATCACCGGGTGCCAGGGGCATGGCCAAAGAAAAGGGGGAAAAAATGGCGGACAGCCTTGTTTGGCGACCCCCGTGAAATGGTCGTTTGACCCCAAATGGGGTCCCGACCACAGGTTGAGAACCACTGTTCTAAAACCAACTGATTCACTAATATAACATTTCATCCAAGTTATATAATTAAAGATAAACTAACATTATCTATTTATATTGTTATAGGCTCATTAAAACATTTCTAAGTTAGGAGGTTTCCTGTAACCACCCTATCTGAGAGCTCCTGAATTCTCATCCCTTTGACCTTTTGTGGGGACCAGGAGCCCCTTAGTGCCTCCACAAGGGAAGCAGCATTTGGGGCCTGAATACATCTTGGAAATGAGTGATGAGAGAGGTGGTCCAGTTTTAAAGTTACAGGAAACTTTTTAAAAACACGACGGAGGGTCCTCTGGCAGTGTTAGGAATCCCAGAAGGAGAATTTTTACTAATAAAGCATCTAGAATCCTAGTTACGTTGAGCAACATGACCCGTCAATGTCTCATCAGCAGAACAGATTGTTCTCCGAGTCCTTGAGCAGGAGAACATCACAGTTTCCTTCTGCCACTCTGATTTTGGTGGTTGTTGCGTTTTTCTTTGACCTTCCTTTCGGAAAATCTTGGTGGGGGAGGGGGGGAATCAGAACCTCTTGAGTATTAGCTTTTTCCCCACTGCTGGTTGCAGGAAGCGTCTTTGCTTTAAAGATGTCCTGCCATGTTCCAATTACTGAAATATAGTTGACTCTAAAAATGCCACCACATTTCAATGAACACTGGTAAACTTCTCCATGGAGCAAAACGTTCTTCATTTTAAAGCCAGCTCGGCTTTGTTTTGAGATTTTTTTTACCCTTAATCAGATTGCATTTTTTGAGATACTTTCCCAATCTTTCCTGATTTGCAAAGATGCTGCAGGTTTCTGAGGAGAGCTTTTCCATAACGGAAGTGTGCGTTTTATGCTAGATGGCTTTCCAATTTCCCCAGGATCTATAATTGCTCCTTCCCAATTACATGATTACCAAACATTTTAGATCATCATTCTATAATTATGACAATAAATCAGAGATGGTTTTGCAGTCTGGCCGATGTATTTGTCTGGACAGCTAATGGCATTTCTGAATGTAAGATAAATCATTCCAAAGAGTGATCAGTCAACAAAAACTCTGCCTCTTCCATTATCATTTTCTTTGTGGATTGAAAAAATAATAATAATCAGGAGGAATCTGGTAGCCATGGTGCTATCAGACTCCTCTTGATTCTTTCCTGTTAACACAGCTCCCCTCCTACAGTGTCTGACTGGTTTTAAATTGTACGTGTATATACAGCATCGTGCAGAGTGTAGAAAAGGAGTAAGAAATAGTAAACTAAAGAATTTATAGGAATAAAATTAAAGAAAAATAACACAAACTAAAACTAGTTTACAAACTCTCCATAGCTTTCTAGCCCTGCAAATCATCCTAGAACATCCATACATTACCTCAGGGTTTCTCAACCTTGACACGTTAAGACATGTAGACTTCAACTCCCAGAATTCCCCAGCCAGCTGTGCTAATAACATTGCCGTGCTGCAAATGTGGGTGAATTGAATTGAATTGAGTATATAGTTAAATCATTCACTTAGCAGTCCATTTATTGTTAATGCATGTTTTACTTCCATCATATACCTTTCTCATCATGTTCAAAATCCAAATTTCAACTCCTTATGTCTGAGAAAAACTTGAAGTAATTTCCTTTATCAAATACTTTCTCTAAATCAGGGGTCTTCAAACTTGCCCCTTTTAAGACCTTTTTTCTAAACAAATATTCATTAGTTACCAGTGTAATTCCTTCCTGGGTTTCCAA